AAAAGAGAGAGAGAGAGAGAGAGAGAGAGAGAGAGAGAGAGAGAGAGAGAGAGAAAGAGAGAGAGAGAGAGATAGAGAGAGAGAGAGAGAGAGAGAAAGCGAGAGAGAGAAAGGGAAAGAGAGACAGAGAGAGAGAGAGAGAGAGAGAGAGAGAGACAGAGGGAGAGAGCAACCAAAGAAAGAAGAAGAGAGAGAAAAGGAGAGAGACCAACAATTGCAAACAACACTAGAAAAAACATGGAGCAGCTGCCGCAGCAAGTCCGGATCAGCTCCAACGACACGAAACAACACACACATGCAAAGCTCTGACGCTACCACATGCTCAAGAAGCTCATCCACACAACAGCCCGCGACAGACATCAGGAAGTCATAGAACATCCTTCCACTAGAATCTCGACCCAGCAGGACAACAAGCCAGCCTGCAACATTCGAGTGCCAGCTCACGACATGTGACGAAAGCAGCTGCGCCCAAGCCAACGTGACTCGAGCACCACGATGCACCAGGATGCAACTCGGAGCAAAGTACAAAATACGCGCATCAACGTGCGACCCACAGACAGAAATTGACGGACGACAGAACGACAACGCACGAACCGGCTGCCGAAGCGCCCTCGCAACAACCCAGAATCAGCAGCACCAACCCCCTGTCCACCCCCCCAGCCCACAACCACCGACATCCTCACTCGCACCCAGGAAGAAAGCGCCTCAACCACGTCCGGCACCTTCTCCAGCCAGCAGTTGAGCAGAAAGGAAAAATCCGAAGAAGGAGACGAAGCCGACGCCCGCAGCTTGACCACTTCCAACCACGACGCGCAACCGCACGGACCTGTGCCAGACAACAAAGACCACCCAGACATCGGCGACAGCATCCTTACTTTATACTCACAGACCCTGAACAACATCTTGGCCCAGAAGCAGCACATACTCGTCGTCGGCACCAAAACAAGGCCAAAATGCATCTGGCTCGCAAGCGAAGGTTGCATCAAAGCAAGAGCTACCATCGAACAAGTGAGACGCATTGATGGACAGGAATTTCACGAACTCTACAACCAACACCTCCAACTGGACCCACCCGATTCCCAAAACTTCTACGCGCTCGCGATCACAAACGTTCGCCGAACCAATATCAACTTCAATTACTACCAACTGATGCCCCCCTCCCTGTTCACACGGTACCGCACTGGACCAGACGACCTGTGTCCCATCAGCAGGAGCTATCGCAAACGCAAGGAAGCTGAAGAATACGCACAACGGCAACTCGCCCTGCCAGTCCAAGACGAGCAACACCAACCCACCCTGCCAATCGAAGACGCACCCAACCCAGAAGCCACTGCGCCCGCAAAAGTCGGACGCGACGAGACGAAGAACCACGACGAAAAGGGACAGAGCTAGACGAACGCGTTGCAAGTGAAGCATCAGTGCAAGAAGATCGGACATGCAGTATCACAGTTATCACCGGTTGCATCCACACTGCACATGCGTAGCTGCTGCTACCCTCACAACCTCACGGTCAACAATTCAGCACGACAGCATGGCACAGCAAAGCTACAAACAGCGCGGCTGAGCCCGCCTCCGACCCCCCGCACCCCCCCCCGCTAAGCGGTTCAAGTGAACAGACATATGCACGGTAGTCTCAGACCCCATTCCAGGCGCACGTTGTTGCGACCCGACCTAACGAATAGCCATGCAAGACACCAACGCAAGCGCGCCCCACGACAAACCCGTACCGGAGCTCGAAGACGACGCCGTACCAGCAGACGGGGACCGAATCATGATCCTCAAAGCCAAGTGGCTGTCCATGATCCTAAACGGACAGAAAACCATCGAAATCAGAGGCCAACCTGCACGGGCAGGCCTCATTTGGTTCGGACACAATCAGCTGCTCCATGGCAGGGCCTACATCACACACACCGAAAAGCTGTCCGTTACGACCTTCCGGCAGATGCAGCACCAACACGGACTGAGCACACACGTGCTGCCATACCAGCGGACGCACGCACTGCACATGGCAGACATCAAGCGCATGCGCAGCCCGCAGCCGTTTTTTCACCCGAGAGGCGCCGTGGGCTGGGTCAGATACCGCAACAGACACCAAGCCGGAGCGCCGCAAACGCAAAGAATCCAACTGGAGGTCGCCAGCTCCGCTCCACGCAACCGCAGACGACCACCGAAGCAGGTGTCCGACAACCAAAACGAAGCAACCACGAGTGCCGCCTCCCCGCAGCGCAGCCAAAACGAATCAGAGCCACAGGACGGAACCAAACCAAACAGGAAAATCAAGAACCGCAAATCACGTCGGAAGACTGCTGCAAACTAAAGCCAATCCAGCAACGTCGTTGGCACAGCGCCGCACCCACGTCTCAGCGAACAGATGTCTCGGCAGCCTTCGACAGAGGACACCGAACCTCTTCCACATCCGTGTTAGTTGCAATCGTCCTACCAATCGTCATCACGTCACTGCTGGAACACCTAGACGCGTGGGCTCTGCAAGACTTCCTACAGGCAAGCAAAAGCACGCACGACGCAATGCAGCACCAAAGCCTTCGGAAAAGCGCTCAAGCGCTTAGATGGACCTTAGAGATTTTAACGTTCGACATCCACCTTCCCGGTCTGCCAAGCGTCTACAGCATCAAACTCATTCCACAGCACCTGTTAGACCGAAAATTGCTGCACCATTCCTGCGGCACCTCCGTCAAAACGCTCACGAATAGCACAGCCGCAAACCCGACCGGTCACAGCAGCCGACACATGCAGGAACTCCTGCGGCAGGGTCGAGCCAGTACATTCGCGGAGCTCGTCAGGAAAACAAACCCATCCTGGCGACACGATGCTCAATTCCAAGCATTCCTATATTTCCTCGACGACGCCCACACCACCATCTCCTACATGCCGCAGTTCAGCAAGAGCGAATACCATTTCCGCGACATCATCAGCCCGGCCCGCTTACAGCTGAGCTTCCGATACCAGAACCACGCGGGCCTCATCCACGCAGAGTGAAAGGAGTGATGCACCCTCGCAAAACGCAAGACGCCGCAACCAGACCCGTCGCACAGCCGAAAAACATGAAAAGACACGAGAGGAACAGTAAGAGAACAAGCGCTCCCGCAAAAAGCACAGCCAGCACCAGTAACATGTCCTGAGTGCAGCCTCCGTAGCCGCATGCGGATCGAACAGCAACCCAAGCAGACGACAGCGTTGAAACGCACAAACCAACTAGAGCACCGAAACGCGCCACAACACTGTCGTACCAGATCAAATGCCCCAAGCTACACCACAAAATCACGACTGCACCACCCACCGAGCGCAAGCAAAAGCACATCCCTTAGTAACGGACCGTTCCAGAAACAAACCTAGATGCACATGAACACCACGCCCACCACGCGCGACGCCGAAGACAGCGACCGGAAGACAACCAGGAAGCAACAAGAAGAGCAAACACCCAAGGCTCCGACGAAAGCACACACACACACACCAAGCTCTACAAACACCCGACACCCAACCAACGCCTCCGTCGTGCCAGGACAGAGCGGAAGGGAGCAGCTCTCCACTCAGCATCCTCACGGCTTCCACGATGACACGAGAAGCAAGCGCCCGACGGCACGCCGCCGAAAAGCACAAAAGCCAGCAAAGTTCAGGACTGACCCAGTTCCACGACGTCAGAATTCCCACTCCACCAGCTCCGCAATTTCACATACAGACACCCGACTCCTTGCAAACGCAAGTAGAAAGCCTTGTCAAGATCATGTTCGATCCAACTGCCCACAGCATCATAGCCGACGAGCAAGTTCGACACTGGCAGCTCTACCTACAAAACAAGACCTATGCCGACCCCTACTACACCTTCCCCAACCACTTCATCCACAACTGCATCTTCCACTTTGACGTAGCCCTGCACCGAGAAGTGAAATCCTTCATCGAGCTCTCCATCCATCACATCCAGGAAGACCAGGAGCAACAACCCAATACCAAGCTAATCGCATGGCAGCGCAACCTGCGTTTCCGATGCAAGATCCAGCCCTTTGCATTTTCCACTTGGCAACAACTGATTTACGACGTTGAGTTCGACGATCTCGCCAACTCTGTGGGCTTCACATACCGGCAAAAGCAGCACTAGCCCCTCACGCAAGGACGTGCACATGCAACTTCGCAACATGCACTTTCCAGCCAAGACGGCTCGAGTAAAACAAACCCCCGACCGCACAGTAATCAAGCGAGCCAGAAAACAAACGGAAGCAGCAGCAACCGCGATCTGTCGCTCACTTCAACCACGCGCGCAACAACAACTCCCTGCCGAGCTCCAACCACGAACGTGCTGCACTCGGATCAGAAACAAACCTGACCGCAAAAAAACAATAGCACTCACCGCGACCACACACACACACACACACACATGCACACATTGACACATCAACGCACACACACACACACACACCAATATGCATGGTTATACCAGCACTTCCACACATCCGCGCGAAATATGTGCAAACAAACCTGACAACCGGGCGCATATAAAACACACCACAATGGACCTGTCGCTGTTTCCTCGATGAAACCAAGAGTACTAGAGGATCCAGCGAACAAAACACGCCACGAAACAACCGGCCATGCCCCAGCGCTACATGCACCTGCAGAACCTCCCTCTGCAGTGTGCAAGCAAGATCCTCAACTATCTCGCATTCCCCGAACAAGTCCCAACCTTGTCATCCTGCAACAGCTTCCAGAACGAGTTCCAGCACCGCTGTGACAAGATCCGCACACTGGCAGGCCATGTACGGGCATCACTCGCCCCGCTGCATACGCCCCTTCCACTCAGGCTACCTGGTTTTCTAACGCCAACGACCGTGTTAGTCGAAAGCAAGAAGAAGTACTACTCCACCTGTGGTGGCTGCGATACCGAACCCTGGCACTCGGGCAACCAGGAAGACCTTCACGAGTGGCTCGAGGAGATCGGCATAGGCGGTTTCTCACCCTCAGAATCGATCCTCATCTTAAACGCTTGGACAGTGCGGGAAGAAGGCATCCAGCTCAGCGACTTCTTGCGAGAAGCTTTCACTCGCTACTTCTACATTCCCCAACCACCCACACGCAACTACCCGCACAACGGCGCCGGCCTGGTCATCACGTTCGACTACCGCGGCTACGAAGGAATCATCTGGGCAGGCACGCTCGCCAATGACCGCAAACAACAGATCCGAGAAAACGCCGAGGCAACGACGCAGTAACTCAAGGCACACGACGCCCGATTCAAAACGAATCCATCCAACAAAACAGGGAAAACGCCTCGCAGAGTCTCGGCACACACGATTCAATCGTCAGAAAGCAGCTAAAACCAGTCCGCACAGAACCGAATCGCAACCACTTAGACCGCCCTTGCCAGAGGAACCCAACTAACAGACTCTTGGCAGCCATTCCCGGCTCACAGGGACTCCCAACCCTCACAAAGCTTCTCCGACATGACGCCAGACGCCGAAACAGAACCCTGCCTGACAAGCGCGGCGACCCAGGCAGTGAGAAAAACAAGCAGCAAACCACTTCCCACAGCAAGATGCTCGACGTGTCTATATAACGACACACACTCCGCGACTCTAGAGCACCCCCGAAATTGCACCCACAGCGCGCAGGCGGAAACACAACCAGAACACGCAGAACGGAGCCCCAAGAGCACAGACACCACAGCCAGTTCCAACGACAAAGCGGACGACATTGCCCCGCACAAGATCAGCACCCCGAACGAGGAAGCACAACCAAGCAGCAACATCGTGTACAACAGAACGAAACTCCAGGAACTCGTGAAAAGGCTCGAGCAGGAAACTCGGATCGAACCGCGCCGACAACTCGTAAGACAAGTCCGCAAAGAGCTGGACCTAAGTGACAAGGGACCACTCCCTCGAAGGATCTTTCGCGGAGACGACGGCACCATTGCCAAGCTCTGCAAAGACTTAGGGTGGCACGAAAAGAGACCCCACAGCGCAGCAGCAGAGCCAACGCCCCGAACTGACACTCGTGCCACCCGTTCCCGGGACCCACCGCCGAAAAGACACGAAAAGAGAAAGAGACGGGACAAAACCGATCAGGAACCCGATCTTGACAGCTGCATGCCATTGCCAGAAAACTCGCAGCACCAAAGTGTTCCGAACACCAAAGCAGCCGCTCCCAGCCAGATCGCCACCGCCAATACTACTACATGCTGAGACACACCGCCCGACTACGACCGTTCAGTCTGCCCACCAAGGCATGTTAGCAGCAACTACTAGCATGTTAGACCACCAACAAGATCTCAAAAGGACCCAGCCCGACACAACGCAGATGTCACGTGCATCCAGAAAAAAAAGTGCTGTCCCAGTGCAATCAGTCAGTAAACAGACACGGCACCAAGTACAGCCAAAACCCCATGCCGTGAATATCAAAACATCAGACCAATCGCGACAGTGTGCAGGGCCCGAACCCCACCAATTCGACCGGTACTGTTGCTCGCCACCTCAAAGCCATCATGAAACGACCAAGCACCCACAAGAACGAAAAGATCCGGGTACAAGTCTACACCGGCGCAGGAAACCTCGTAGCGGACCTTCACCTGCACGAAGCCACCACCATACGAAAGCTCAAAGCCAGACTAGCTCCGGACCTGGGAGTCTCCCGATTCCGACAGAAGATCCTCCGAAACACGCGCCTCCTCGACGACGACGACGCGATCCGAAAATCCACCCACCTGCAGGTCGTGCTATTGAACTACATCCCCACCTCCGCGAAAAACATCCGCCAGCTCATTGATGCCAGCTTCGAAGACTCCGAATCCGAAGTGGAAGAACTCCTGTGCAAACCACAGGACGTCAACGCGTCCATGCCCGGAGGGGCCAAAGTCAACACCGCAAACGGCGCAACCACCGCTCTCCAAGCAGCCGCGAGTGCAAACAACACGGACATCCTGAAACTCCTCTTCCAAGCCCATGCGGACGTGAACCGCAACGGCAACGATCGGGCACTCTGGCACGCAGCAGCCCAAAACGCCAAGGAAGCCACGCGCATGTTGCTGCAACACCGAGCAGACCCGGACGCAACAGACCAGCACGGACGCAGCGCCTTACTCGAAGCCGTCGCTGGTGGCTTCCACAGCCTCACACAATTGGTGCTAGAGGCAAGAGCCGACCCGAATCAACGCAACGACCAAGGCCGGACGCCCTTCAACGTCGCTTGCCACAATAACGACGAAAAAATGGCAACCACCCTGCTGATGGCGCGCTCGGATGTGCACACCCGACACGGGCCCCGCAACGAGTACGACTACGAGACAACCGCTCTCTGCGCATGCGCCAGCACCAACTGCATTTCCGGCATTAAACTCCTGCTCGGCTCATCGGTCCACGTTGACGGCCAGTTGAATGCCACGGCGCTCTGGTACGCAGCTTGGCACGGGAGAACCGAAGCCGTGGAGTTCCTGCTCGAACAGAGAGCTGACACCGAGAAGCATGCCTTGCACGGGGGAACACCTCTTTGTGCAGCAGCTTTCCAGGGTCACGACTCGATCCTCCACAAGCTCATTGCGAACCTCTGCGACGTGGAATCAGAAGAAGCTGTGCGACTCCTTCAAGAACCGCTACAACTTGCGATGTGGAGCGACAACCCCGACACCGTCAAACTCTTGCTCGATGCGAAGGCGAACGCGAGTGGCGTGAAGAACAACACATCCGTCGGTAGAATGCACCAGCTACAGCTACAGCTATACCAGTCAACTGTAGAGGTGCGGACACCCACCCTGGACAGACTCCGTCTTTACCAGTATCTACAAGAACGCCAAACACAAGCGCAGGCTGCAACTGCAAGAAGAAATCTCTCAGGCCAGGAACAGGAAGCATAGGCCGGTCTCTCTTTCTAGCCTCTCCAAGCCCGAATCCGGAGCCTAACGATCCCGTCGCAGCACCAAGCATCAAAAAGAAAACACAAACAAATCTGCGGGAGAAACAAGTGCACGAGCCCAAGCATGCCAACCTTCCTCTTGGTTGTACATGGGCTCGAGCTACGTCCACGACTTCCATGCACTCCATTCCTACTTCCGGGTAAAGCACTGGAAGAGCAATAGCAAATCAACCATGCAGATCGATGTCGCTTCATTGCCATGCAAAAAAAGAAGTCAGAGGCCCGACCGGCACGAACGCCAACCCACACAACGAGGACTGTCATAACACGCGCACGTCGAGTCAGCAACACCCCCTCGAGGGATCTTGCGGAGACGACGGCGACATTGCCAAGCTGTGCAAAAATTTCGGTTGACGCGAGAAGCGACACTGCAGCAGAGCAGCAGAGCCAACACCCCAAGTGACACTCGAGCCATGCAATCCCGAGTCCGGAAAATCAGGAAGACAAGACACGACGGGAGAAAGCAGAGACAGGCCCAAACCGAACAGAACCCGATCCCACAGCTGCGCACAAAACGAAACAACAAAAACACGGCAAAGCAGTGACGAAAACGCGAAAGTAGACGCTCCCAGCAAGAAAACCACCGCCATTGCTGCAGGTTGTGAAACACCGCCCCGACCACCACCGTCCAGACTGCCCGCCAACGCCTGTCCAGCACGAGAGCAACAACTGCAGGCCCGCAATCAAAAACGAACCCGAGCGACGCCGATGTCACGCACGTCAACAAAAAAGAGCAAGCCAGCCAAATGCAACCACAGGCTCGTTGAGGCTCCCGCGGCTTCGATGCAGGCCATATCCTTACGAGTCAGCACCAGAAAGACACACATACAACTCCACAAACCCTCGCATCGCCACCGGAGACAGGCCAGCCGAGGCCGAAACTGTCAGCACAACAGACGGTCCTTGGGGATCCGCAAGGCAGCGATGCTGGATTGATCTCAATAGGCTTCAGACCAAGTAAACATGACCGTGACAATGTTCGTGCTGCAGCATAGGCAGACATCAGGACAGGGTACATGGACCTATAGCAGACTCACTCACGTTCTTTAATGTCAACTTCTGAAAGTTGCTGGTCGCGGCTGTCTCTGCGGGTGATACGCCGCCGCGCACTCACTACAGCGAGTCACCCGTCCATTGACCTCGATTCCGCGCGCTGGCCTATGTGCTGCATCTCGCCGTACGGGGCTCCGACTCCTCGTCGCTAGACGGCGCCGCCATGCCCCACCTGAGCGACAAGAGCTTGTTGCCGTAACCATCGAGTACAGTTCATGCTCGGGCCCTGGCGCTTCCAGCGCGACGAATAGCAGCATCAAGTTTCGCTGGCGGAGTTCTCCTGCACGCGTGCGACGTCCTGAGTGGTCGTGGCGCCTATGAAGGAAGGCCTGGAGCGTCTATGTAAGGTCGGCACGAATCTTCGTGCCGTCCGAGTAGGTCAGAAGCTCTATAGCATCGTGCTTGTACATGGGCAGGTGGTCGTAGACGCGGTCCATCATGAAGAGCTGACGGGAGGCGTGGGGAAGTGCAGACAAAGCTCACGAAGCCTTTTCCTAGCCCGCCTTGATGCGGCAGACCTTGCCGGTCAGCGGCATGTGGATATTGATGCGACGCTGGCCCCTGTCCGTTGCAGAGTGGCATCTGAATTTTTGTTATTCCGGGAACTCACGTAGCTCGGGTCTGCACAATCCGTAGACCTGGTCAACGAGGCGACGACGACTCTTCTCACTGAGATAGGATGCACCTGAGCCGCTGAAGCTACTAACTTCTATTACGACTGATGCCATGCCAGCGACTACAAAGGCCCCGGCGAATCACCATTGCGATCAGGACAAGAGCGAAGCGAGGCAGGGCACTGAAAGTTTAAAAGCTACAACAGCAGCAACAACAGGTATCACTCACCAGGCAACCACAATTCACACTCATGTTCGTGCTGCAGCACAGGCAGACATCAGGACAGGGTACATGGAGCTATAGCAGACTCGCTCACGTTCTTTAATGTCAACTTCTGAAAGTTGCTGGTCGCGGCTGTCTCTGCGGGTGATACGCCGCCGTGCACTCACTACAGCGGGGCACCCGTCCATTGACCTCGATTCCGCACGCTGGCCTATGTGCTGCATCTCGCCGTACGGGGCTCCGACTCCTCGTCGCTAGACGGCACCGCCATGCCCCACCTGAGCGTTAAGAGCTTGTTGCCGCAACCATCGAGTACAGTTCATGCTCGGGCCCTGGCGCTTCCAGCGCGACGAATAGCAGCATCAAGTTTCGCTGGCGGAGTTCTCCTGCACGCGTGCGACGTCCTGAGTGGTCGTGGCGCCTATGAAGGAAGGCCTGGAGCGTCTATGTAAGATCGGCACGAATCTTCCTGCCGTCCGGGTAGGTCAGAAACTCTATAGCATCGTGCTTGTACATGGGCAGGTGGTCGTAGACGCGGTCCATCATGAAGAGCTGACGGGAGGCGTGGGGAAGTGCAGACAAAGCTCACGAAGCCTTTTCCTAGCCCGCCTTGATGCGGCAGACCTTGCCGGTCAGCGGCATGCGGATATTGATGCGACGCTGGCCCCTGTCCGTTGCAGAGTGGCATCTGGATTTTTGTTATTCCGGGAACTCACGTAGCTCGGGTCTGCACATTCCGTAGACCTGGTCAACGAGGCGACGACGACTCTTCTCACTGAGATAGGATGCACCTGAGCCGCTGAAGCTACTAACTTCTATTACGACTGATACCATGCCAGCGACTACAAAGGCCCCGGCGAATCACCATTGCGATCAGGACAAGAGCGAAGCGAGGCAGGGCACTGAAAGTTTAAAAGCTACAACAGCAGCAACAACAGGTGACTACTCATAGGTTTTTTGTCCTTGAGACTACTACTACTACTACTACTACTACTACTACTACTACTACTACTACTACTACTACTACTACTACTACTACTACTACTACTGCTATTAATCTTGCAGAGACGACGGCGACATTGCCAAGCTGTGCAAAAAATTCGATTGACGCGAGAAGCGACACTGCAGCAGAGCAGCAGAGCCAACACCCCAAGTGACACTCGAGCCATGCAATCCCGAGTCCGGAAAATCAGGAAGACAAGACACGACGGGAGAAAGCAGAGACAGGCCCAAACCGAACAGAACCCGATCCCACAGCTGCGCACAAAACGAACAACAAAACCACAGCAAAGCAGTGAGGAAAACGCGAAAGTAGACGCTCCCAACAAGAAAACCACCGCCATTGCTGCAGGCTGTGAAACACCGCCCCGACCACCACCGTCCAGACTGCCCGCCAACGCCTGTCCAGCACGAGAGCAACAACTGCAGGCCCGCAATCAAAAACGAACCCGAGCGACGCCGATGTCACGCACGTCAACAAAAAAAAGAGCAAGCCAGCCAAATGCAACCGACCCGCCCCGAGCAGCAAACATGCACAGGACCAAGCGCAGCCAGAAACATCACGACACACATGTACAACATCACGTCAGCCGCAACAGTATCAATGGCCCGAGCCCCACGAACTCCGGTTCGTACTACTATCAGGTCGCACAACCACCGACCCCGCCAGAGAGCCAAAATGAAACGACCGAGCACCCAGAAGATCGAAACCATCCAAGTACATGTCTACTCCACCGCAGGCAACCTCGTAGCCGACCTCCACCTAGACGAAGCCATAACGGTGCGACAGCTCAAAACCAGACTAGCTCCAGACCTGGGAGTCTGCCGATTCCGACAGAAAATCCTCCAGGACACACGCCTCCTCGAGGACCAGGACAGGATCCGAAAATCCTCCCGCCTGCAGGTCGTGCTATTGAACTACATCCCCACTTCCACGGAAAACATCCGTCAGCTCATTGATGCCAGCTTCGAAGATTCCGAATCCGAAGTGGAAGAACTCCTGTGCAAACCACAGGACGTCAACGCGTCCATGCCCGGCGGAACCAAAGTCAACACCGCAAACGGGGCAATCACCGCTCTCCAAGCAGCCGCAAGTGCAGATAACACGAACATCCTGGAACTCCTCTTCCAAGCCCATGCAGACGTGAACCGCCACGGCAACGATCGGGCACTCTGGCACGCAGCAACGCAAGACGCACAGGAAGCCGCACGCATGTTGCTGCAACACCGAGCAGACCCGGACGCAACAGACCTTCGTGGACGCAGCGCCCTACTCGAAGCAGTTGCTGGCGGCTACCACACCCTCACACAAATGGTGCTAGAGGCAAGAGCCGACCCGAATCAGTGCAACGTCCAAGGCCGGACGCCCTTCAGCGTCGCCTGCCAAAATAACGACGAAGAAATTGCAAGCACCCTTCTGCTAGCGCGCTCCGACGTACACGAGCCCCGCAACGAGTACGACTACGAGACAACCGCTCTCTGCGCATGCGCCAGCGCCAACTACATTTCCGGCCTTAAACTTTTGCTCAGCTCATCAGTCCACGTAGACAGCCAGTTAGAGGCCACGGCGCTCTGGCACGCAGCTTGGCACGGGAGAACCGAAGCTGTAGAATTCCTGCTGGAACAGAAAGCCGACATCGGGAAACATGCCTTACACGGGGGAACGGCTCTTTGCGCAGCAGCCTTCAAGGGTCACGACTCGATCCTCCACAAGCTCCTTTCAAACCTCTGCGAGCTCCAATCAGAAGCAGCTGTGCGACTCCTTCCAGAACCACTGCAACTGGCAATGTGGAGCGACAACCCCCACACAGTGAAGCTCTTGCTCGATGCGAGGACAAACGCAAGCGGCGTCAGGAGCAACGCATCTCGCAAGAGAATCCACCAGCTAGATAAGTATCCGTGGGCCTTGGAGATGCTGATGCCCGCCCTGGAAACACTCCGTCTCTACCAATATCTCCACGAACGCCAAGCACAGACGCAGGCTGCAACTGCAAGCAGAGATCTCTCAGAGCAACAACAGGAACCATAAGCCGTTTTTTCGCGCAAGCCTCTCAAACCCCAATGCCGTACCCCGTCGATCTCCTGGCAGCACCTAAAGCATCGACAAAAAGGCACAAACAAAATCTGCCGGAGTAACAGCTGCACAAGCCAAAGCATAACAACCTTCCTGGTGGATAAACTTGGGCTCAAGCTAGGTGCTCGACTACCATCCACGCCATTTCCATTTCCAGGCAGCACTAGACGAGTAACAGCCACTCAATCTTAACTCGCTGAAGCCATGTCGCTTCATTGTCGTGCAAACAAGTCAGCGGTCCAACCAGCAACAGCGCCGACACGAACAACAAGAGCTGCTACTAAACATGAACATCGACATGCCCGCCAACGGCGACGTACTGGAACACAAAACAACCCCGATGCAAGAAACCTCACTCACAGACAGCAAGCAGGCATCAACTCCGACGACCACTGCATAAGCACAACCACGGCACCGAAACCGTCCACAACACCAATCCCCATTCAGCCGAATCAGCCAAAACAAGCACCTAACCGACCGCCACCATCATTCCGTACGAGAGCTCCCGTCCCCTGCACAGAATGGCAAGGCAGAGGCTCCCCTTCAGAACACATACTCTCCTGGGAACCACGCACGCCGTCTCGCGCGACAACTCTTGACGGACAGCGTGCACTCATGACTGATGGCATCCCCAACGACGATTCCAACGAGGTCGCCAAAATATACACCAACAAAAGCACCGAATCTTGAAGCAACGAGCACCGACATGGACAAGCATACATACATGCATACATACACACGTACATGCACACAGGCAAAAATACATACATACATACATACATACATACATGCATACATACATGCATGCATACATACATACATACGTACATACAGACATACATACATACATACATACATCATATATACATGCATACATACATACATACATACATACCTACGTACGTACATACATACATACAAAAACGTTTGATTGGCTACGAACGAGCACCGCCGTCACCATGCTGCACAACTCCAACAACAACAGCAACAAACAGATTCCAGATCTACGAACACCTACACTCGACGAATCAAATGCAGATCTCAGAGCCACCCGCACACCACTCAGAGCTACGAGAACCGTCACCTCAGAGCAACAGCGCCGAGTCCCACAACTAAAATTGAAGAAACACCATAACGCCAAGTGTCTTCAGTGACAACAGATCTAGCGACCGTTCGACTCGAATTGGTTTTGTGAAAAACAACAACCAGCCGCAAGCGCCAATAGCAACCTGGTCGATTATTCAAGAACATGCAAACGTAGAGGAACTGCACTGCATGCACAGCGCACACTTCACCAGCGCATTCAAGCCAGCCCAAAAAAAACACGCCTGATATGCTCCTTCAACACAACAACAAGCCGCGAGAAAAGCCTGATAAGCAAGGTACACTACGATTTAACAGTCGGCGAAGACAAACCACCAGCCCGGCAACGGACACCGGCACATCCGCCAATCAACAAGTACTAATGGCGCAGCTGCCCGCACACAAAAAGGCCACGCTGACAATACAAATCACACAGCGGCTCTGACGAACACTGCCGAAGCACAGCTCCGCAGAACGAACAGACACGAGATGGCTCCCAAACGCAACTTAAAAAAACAAACAAAAAAACGACACATTCTCTTTCCATGCACAGGACCAAACATGCATTTGTTATATTTGTACAACACCAAGAAAAATTTCCCAACAGAGAATAATAGACAGAGCGCAGTACACTCCACCGGACTAATCCCGAGCCCGAAACACCCAACCAAGCCCCTCAAGCGCAGCGGACCTGACGTACTCCGCAAGCAACTGCGTAGGCCGTTAACCAATTAGCCACCGCAGCCATGGCACCGACACGTGGAATCTCGCCCCGACAGCATACTCGCAGCTCAGCACAGGAGGTAATCGCGCGTCTCGGCAAAGCGTGGCTGTGCATCCTCCAACACGAAGCCAGATGCCGAAGACTCAGCATGTCTGGTCGCAGCAACGCACTAAGGAGCAGCTCGAGCGAAGATGCTTCCACGTCAAATCCCGGAAGCGACGCCGCGCCGCCGCAAATCCACTCTCACCCCCCCCTCTCCGACAAGAGAAGGAAAACCCTCCCCACAACCAACAGCAGGAAGTGCCAGCAGACTCACACGCCCGCTTCCTCACGTCCGGTGCAAGCGCAGCCGTCCCAAGAAGAAGTGCACACGACCACAACCAACGGACAGACAAACGACGCCGACAGCAAGCCAAAGCATCGCAAACCCACGCCACAATACGACCAACACACCAGACGAGAAAAAGGATACGACACACGAGGACCTGCACCCAACACTACAACACGAGCAGAACCAACAGAAGAAGCAGAAAGACACAGAAGCGAAAGAACGAAGCTCGGAGCAGGACAACGTGGACAACTCCCCGAAAACAACAAGCCGCCACGGCCACGTCAAACCGAGTACAGCCAAGAAGCTCAAGCCAGCCACGGGTGCGGCACACGCGGCCCGGAGCCCGAACAAGCAACTTGCGATAACCACGCAAATGTGTTGTCATCAAGGCAGGCCCCATACCACACAGTGCTTTGTCAGGCCCACTGCCACAACTTAATCGCCAACCTCGCCAAGCGAAACTCAGTGCAGAGGAAAGATCGCAAAAAGGCCACGGGAAACGCGGCCAGAAGCTCAGACAAGCAACTTGCGACAACCACTGAAACAGCTGCTCATCACACAACCCCCCACGTCACGCACCGTTCCACGAGGCCCAGTACCCAAGGCAGCGCCATATGTGCCGCAATGTACGAAAGAAGAAAGATCCTGCAAAGGGCACGGCAAGCGCGGCCCGGAGCCCCACTCAAGCAGCTTGTCATCATACAACCCCCCATGTCACGTATCGATCCACGAGGCCCAGTACCCAAAATGCAAACTTTCGCGGCACCATATGTGCCGCAATGTACGGAAGAAGAAAGATCCCGCAAAGGGTACGGCAAGCGCGGCCCGGAGCCCCACGCAAGCACCTTGTCATCACACCATCCCCACATGTCACGCATCGATCCACGAGGCCCAGTACCCAAGGCAGCGCCATATGTGCCGCAATGTACGGAAGAAGAAAGATCCTGCCAAGGGTACGGCAAGCGCGGCCCGGAGCCCCACTCAAGCAGCTTGTCATCATACAACCCCCCATGTCACGCATCGATCCACGAGGCCGAGTACCCAAGGCAGCGCCATATGTGCCGCAATGTACGGAAGAAGAAAGATCCCGCCAAGGGTACGGCAAGCGCGGCCCGGAGCCCCACGCAAACACCTTGTCATCACACCATCCCCACATGTCACGCATCGATCCACGAGGCCCAGTACCCAAGGCAGCGCCATATGTGCCGCAATGTACGGAAGAAGAAAGATCCTGCCAAGGGTACGGCAAGCGCGGCCCGGAGCCCCACTCAAGCAGCTTGTCATCATACAACCCCCCATGTCACGCATCGATCCACGAGGCCGAGTACCCAAGGCAGAACCATATGTGCCGCAATGTACAGAAGAAGAAAGATCCTGCCAAGGGTACGGCAAGCGCGGCCCGGAGCCCCACGCAAACACCTTGTCATCACACCATCCCCACATGTCACGCATCGATCCACGAGGCCCAGTACCCAAAATGCAAACTTTCGCGGCGCCATATGTGCCGCAATGTACGGAAGAAGAAAGATCCTGCCAAGGGTACGGCAAGCGCGGCCCGGAGCCCCACGCAAACACCTTGTCATCATACAACCCCCCTTGTCACGCATCGATCCACGAGGCCCAGTACCCAAGGCAGCGCCATATGTGCCGCAATGTACGGAAGAAGAAAGATCCTGCCAAGGGTACGGCAAGCGCGGCCCGGAGCCCCACTCAAGCAGCTTGTCATCATACAACCCCCCTTGTCACGTATCGATCCACGAGGCCCAGTACCCAAGGCAGCGCCATATGTGCCGCAATGTACGGAAGAAGAAAGATCCTGCGAAGGGTACGGCAAGCGCGGCCCGGAGCCCCACGCAAACACCTTGTCATCACACCATCCCCACATGTCACGCATCGATCCACGAGGCCCAGTACCCAAGGCAGCGCCATATGTGCCGCAATGTACGGAAGAAGAAAGATCCTGCCAAGGGTACGGCAAGCGCGGCCCGGAGCCCCACGCAAACACCTTGTCATCACACCATCCCCACATGTCACGCATCGATCCACGAGGCCCAGTACCCAAAATGCAAACTTTCGCGGCGCCATATGTGCCGCAATGTACGGAAGAAGAAAGATCCTGCCAAGGGTACGGCAAGCGCGGCCCGGAGCCCCACGCAAACACCTTGTCATCACACCATCCCCACATGTCACGCATCGATCCACGAGGCCCAGTACCCAAAATGCAAACTTTCGCGGCGCCATATGTGCCGCAATGTACGGAAGAAGAAAGATCCTGCGAAGGGTACGGCAAGCGCGGCCCGGAGCCCCACGCAAACACCTTGTCATCACACCATCCCCACATGTCACGCATCGATCCACGAGGCCCAGTACCCAAAATGCAAACTTTCGCGGCGCCATATGTGCCGCAATGTACGGAAGAAGAAAGATCCTGCCAAGGGTACGGCAAGCGCGGCCCGGAGCCCCACTCAAGCAGCTTGTCATCACACCATCCCCACATGTCACGCATCGATCCACGAGGCCCAGTACCCAAGGCAGCGCCATATGTGCCGCAATATGCGGAAGAAGAAAGATCCTGCAAAGGGTATGGCAAGCGCGGCCGGGAGCCCAAGCGAACACGAAGTACAGGCATAAGCTACGAGTGGTCGTATCATGAAATTGCATGCAACGGCAACCACGAAGGTCCGCTTCCACTGGAAAACAACCCGCCAGTCAAACCCAACACGCCTGTCATCGAAGAAATGGACGCCAGGGCCATGAAGAATGCAGTAAGACGTCTCCCAGACGGACAGCTCGAAACAGGCATATTGCTAAACGAAG